ATTTTAATAAGGTTGAGAAAAACCAGGGTGACCCAGATGTACTGTATTTTTTGTTGCACATAAAGAAAGGAGTTTATGACAGCGGTATGAATCAGATTGTGGCAGATATTAGCAAATCACTTTTAATCTAATCACTGTTCCCAATAAGAGTTAAAAATTGGTTAATTAAAGTCATCCTTAAATAACTTTATTTGACACTGTCATTAATTCTGACAGCAGTATAAATATACTCTAAGATTAAGACTAATATAAAAAATGAAAAGTTGTATAACTAAGCTGATATTAGTGTCATTGTTTACATTGAGGAAAGTGAGGCTTGAACTCTTTTTTTTTTTATATAGTTGAACACAGACATTAATGTTTCTAATCAGTTTACAGCTATTTAAAAGTATTTTTCTCTCTATGTCAAATGATATTAGTTAGTGGCTTATCTGTAGCTTTAGTGGTTTATCTACAGCTGAAAGAAAGAGGCGCATCAGGAAGGCCAGCTCTGTGATTGAATACCCTCTGGACTCAATGCAGGAGGTGGGAACCGAAAGGATCCTAACTAAATTAACATCTCTGTTGGATAATGTTTCCCACTCCATGCATGAAGCAGTTCAGAACTGAAGAGCTCCTTCAGTGACGGACTGCTGCACCCTAAATGCACCAGGAAGCGTTATCACAGATCCTTCCTCCCAGCAGCTGGAAGACTCTATAACCACCATCTGATTTTGCAGTTTCTATCTTAGTGAGTTGAATAACATGCTGCTGTCATTTTGCACATCTCTGCTGTTTTAAAATATCCATTACTGTAAAAATGTCCACAGCCGCTTATTGGTTGTGTATTGTCCAGGTGCACAGTATTTATATTTTTTAAAACACTTTATAGTATAGTTTTTTATTTGTTTAACCCCTCACTATTGTGTTATTTTATACACTCTTTTAGGGTCCACATGGAGCATTTATTCTATAACCTTTTTGCTGCTGTTAACACCAGAATTTCCCCATTTTGAAACAATAAAGGGGTTTTTATACTTATTATACTTATTTGTGTAGCCAACCATAGTTTATTTAATCGACAGCTAAGATCAATAACATTGCATGTAAAACCTTTACTGTGCATTTTAATGGGTTTTCATGAAGGACACAAATATTTTGGAGAACTTTTGTTCAAAGGAATAGTACACCCAAAACATGATAAGCCTTCATTTTCTACTCACCCCCATGCTGAACAACACTCTGGAGTACTTTTTTGATATCTCAAATGCATCTGGAGATCTGGGAGGCTTCTTGCTGTCTGCTGACATTCAAATAATGGAGGTCTATGGCGCCCGAGGCAGAAAGGTCCATAAAAGTCCACAAAAAATGTGTCAATATTCCTCCATACTGCTCGTCCAATGTATTCCAAGTGTCCTGAGTTGGTAGCGTCCATAATTTACTCGAAACAAAGTCCTTTCTGCGCCTGCGAGTTCACGAGCCTACGGAAACTGAGGCAGACCAAGCCAGATGAAAGTGCGCATTCAGCGTCTGCTCTTGATAATGCAAGCGTAGAAGAAGAAATGTGCTGTTTACCTGTGCAAAGAAAGAAACAACGAAAGAAAAATGTCTGAGGACTTCAGTGTTGAGGAAGAGCATGAGTTCTTTGCCGAGCTGAATGCGCACTTTCATCTGGTTTGGTCTGCCGCGGTTTCCGTAGGCTCGTGAACTCGCAGGCGCGCGCTTTTAGGAAATCCTGTACACTACTGTTTATGCTCTAAAAACATTCTAAATGACTTTGTTTCGAGTAAATTCTGGATGCTACCCACTCAGGACACTTGGAATACATTGGACGAGCAGTATGGAGGAATATTGACACGTTTTTTGTGGACTTTTATGGACCTTTCTGTCTCGGTCACCATAGACCTCCATTATTTGAATGTCAGCAGACAGCAAGAAGCCTCCCAGATCTCCAGATGCATTTGAGATATCAAAAAAGTACTCCAGAGTGTTGTTCAGCATGGGGGTGAGTAGAAAATGAAGGCTAATCATGTTTTGGGTGTACTATTCCTTTAAGTAAAACCTCAACGTTGTTCAAATAAAGAGTGAACTGCTGCTGTGAAAGGGAAGGATAAATGTAGCCTTGAAAATGGACAAAGGATGTTCCATTCTGGGTGTGAATGTTTTCAGTGACCTTGATGAAAATGGATAACAAAAAATCATAGATTTGCACTGGACTTGGATTGTGTTTATTTTTTTGGGGGGGGGGGGGGTTGAAAAAAAAGGCAAACCAGAAAAATTAAAACATTTTTTCTGCTTAATGCATAGACATAAACATATATACAAGATGCCAGAAGAGCTACTAGTGCAATTCGATTAAATCATCTTTGTGTTTAATCACTATGTCTTGTTGGAAGATGAGTACATCTGAAAAAGTTCGAATATGTTGGTAAATCTGACCATTTATGTTCATAAAGTTTCTTTAAAAAAGTATTTTTATTTTATTTTATGATATAATTAATTTTAAGTCAAAGTTTGTTCCTTTCTTTGTCTGTTTGAACCCGTTTGTTGCATTAAAGACAAAAGTATTCATATTAAGTGTTTGTGATTTTTATTCTTTTTTTCCGCCCTGAAAGTATTTCAAAGGTAAAACAATTTCACGGGGGTAAATTAATCTAAAGTGTATTAGTTGCTGATGTTTTTCTTTACCTTTGCAGTATAGGATTCATTACAAATATAAATTGCTTTACAACATTCTCCATCTGGTCTGTCATCGTGCCGTAGCAGATTTATTTCTTTTTCCTCCAACAGCTATTGAAGCACATGTTCCTGTAGCTGTTGGACACCAGCGCTAACACTCAGGTGTCTGGTGAGGTAGTCTTTGTGTGTGATAGGTCCTGATTGCCCAGTGGCCAGTAAGTCATGCCGTTGACTCTTATTTGACACTCAATTGGTTCAAATGACACCATTACCATGTCTGGGTGGCTAATGGCCTCCCCGGGGCCACGAGGCGCAGGGGGAACATGGGTTACGTGTTTCAGTCTGAGGTGAGAACACACATGAGCCAGGCACAGGTCCCAGTCCACACCCAAATCAATCCCGACACCTCTTAAGAGGCTCTTAGCATCAATGGCACTCCAGTGCAATTACCCTTTCAGTAATGACATAAGCACCTAGTTCCTTCCTGCCTGCCTCTTACTGGCTGGGGAGAAATCCTCTCCCGCAGGCCAGTAGATGGGGGTGTTGTGGACCATGTTGGCCTCAAAGGTGTTGTTACCTGAGCCCTCTGTGCTCTGAGGTGTGGAGGCTTTTATCTGATCAGAGACGCTGTGCTGAGCCTGTCCGTCTTTTTAGCCTGATTGGAGGTGATGGAGCTCAGCAGGCTGTCAAGATAACCCGTTTCTCAGCAGTCGGCGAAGAGGATTTCCTTTGAAAGCTTTAGGTTTTAGTGGTTGGTGATGATAACCTTGGGAAGTGCAGCTGGGGAACATATGATCAACAGTCAGATTTAAGCCGATAACGTTGAGATCCCGCGGCTTTGGAAAGAGCAGTTATTAAATACATCTCTGCTGTGAAGGACAACTAAACAATGCAAATCCACAGCAGAATAAACTGTTCTTTAATTAGTGTTAAAAAAGTAGCTTTGCATCTGAGGGGAAATTGGTAATCTCTGAATGTTTGATATTTATAAATTGAAAAACCTGATGTGGATTCTGCTGAAAATTAAAATATATGAAACACCTTTTATTTTAACCTTTGGTGTGATTGATTTTTCAGATTAACTGCAGCTTTCATCGCGTTTCAATAAGCTCAGTCAGTTGGCAGTAGGAGAAAAGCTGAGGCCTCTGGGAACACGTCACACAACGCTGTGTAGCATGAACTGCTCAGTGTTAATTCTGTTAGGAAATGTAAAACCAAGTGAATGCTGCCGTCTAACACTGCAGCAATAAATCAGGGTTTTTATTGTTCCAAGAATTTAAAAACCATTAGATAAAATAGTTCCCAGAAAGAGTATCTACTACCAAAACCGGAAAGGGTTTCTTGCATACAAACAACTGTGTATGTGACGCCATGCACACGCCTCATCCTTCACAACTTCCCAGCAACTGCAAAATTAAACACTTTCTAATGACTCAGTCAACTTTAAAGACTGTAGAAAACAGATGAGGTGACATAAAGTTAAGATAAACAGAAAAAAGAGGCGACCACTGGTGGGGACAGAATGAGTTAAAGTCCATTTAAATATCTCCTCCTTTGACTAAACCTTTATCCTGACATCACTTGTTTTAGAAAGCCTCTATATAGCGTGGCTCCACTCCAGTTAGCACGCTTTACAAGCATTTCCATTACCTTTTCTTAGGGACGCAGCGAAAATTCGGCCACTGGAAATTTACAGTGGAAAATGACCAAAAGGCAGATTTTCAGTTTTTAGCCCATTGACATTTAACAGCAAAACAACATGGCTGTAACTTGTGATGACAGGCATAGCACATCCAGCGCGGGGCATAGCACTGCCATACGCTCAGAGTTGAGCGTATGGTAGACAGGTTTAAACGCAGCACATCAGGCTCGGCGCATTCGTATTGGGTTTGAAGTGAAGAGAATGTGATCTATGAATCAAAATTTGAAAAGGATTAACTTTGGAAAATACAATTTAAATACATAGAATTCTTTTTTTTTTTTATCTGTCGAAAAAAATAAGCAGAAAAAAGGAAAAAGTAGCAAAAGAAAAAAAATCTGGAAAGCAAAATCTGAAATGACTAAATTTGACTGTGTTATTTTTTAAATTCTGCTTCTTGGGTGGGAAGTTTGTTTTTGGAAATTGACCTACTGGTGCAAAAATATAACCTATCCTTTTTACAATGGTATCTTTGGAGCTTTTCTTTAAGAAGAAAAATAAAATCAAGTTAACTTTAAGCACACTGGAAAAATCCCTGGAGTCTTTATGTGGTAGAATAACCCAAGATCCTGAATTTCATTCACACTGCGTCCAGCTTTAACTTCCCAACTAACACTCCTCTTGATTCTCTTCTCTTTTCCAGGAGGATCCTGGAAATGCTCGTGTTTTCTCAGGGATCCAGCCAACCGGCGTGCCGCATTTGGGCAACTACTTGGGAGCCCTGGAAAACTGGGTGGCCCTGCAGAACCGGTACCCCTCTGTGCTCTACAGCATAGTGGACCTGCACTCCATAACTCAGCCTCAGGATCCAGACCAGCTCAGGAACAACATCCTGGACATGGCAGCAAGCTTGCTAGCCTGTGGAATCAACCCGGAAAAGGCCATTCTGTTTCAGCAGTCCCAGGTTTTTTTAGTTTTTTGTTGTTACAGTTACTAAGACCTTGATCTACAAAATGTGTGCTTGCTTTAAAACTACGCACAGCAGATCCTAATCCAAGGTACAAAGCGCCTGCCAAACTCTTTTGCTTGTGTGTCTTCATGAATATGCAGACAATATTTTAATAAACAAAATTGGGCAAATTTGTAGGTCAAATAAAACTGTTTCTGCCTTCGAAGTGATTTATCAAACCGGAAACTGGTTGCAGGCACATCTTTAGGTTGTTAGGTCAGATGGAAACTCTATGCAAACTTTTCTTTTGTCATTTTGTCCAAAGACAAATAACTGCTAGATGATGGAGATTCTGTGCTCATTTAAAATTTTCTGAAATCATTAGAAATAAGGATTTGATTAAACTCATCGATCCATTAATTAATAAGCAGCTTTTCCCCTAAAAGTTTCACGTTTTTCTTTTCTCAAGAGGATCTAAGGATCTGTTCAATGCATGAAGAGCTAAATATTGTTTTTGAATATGCTGAATTAAAAATATATAGTTTATAAGTATAGACATCCCTAGTCTTATGTTTGTGAGCAGCCTGTCCTGCCTTGTTTTAACGTCTCCATACAACATATTTCTGAAATTCAATTTATCCCTCAAGCAAAAAGAAAAGGATATATTATAAAACAGAGGCTTATGTTCCTCTAAACTGTAGTTAGTGGCTAAAGCAGTAAAATAAAGGGGAGTAAAGTTATAGCAACAGAGCTGTTTGCTCTTTATAAATGAAATAATAAAGTCAATAATTACATTTATTCAAGTTAAAGGATTTATAATAAACCCAAGTGGATGATAGAAAAACAGGTTTGACACCCCTGCTGATATTGACCTGATACGATATCAGCATAATTCAGACCAATCTTTTTTTTTTTTTTTTTACTCATTTTATGTTTTGGAAAGTTATGAAAGGCTTTGATAAAGTAATTTTACTCAGACTAGTCAACAATAGTAAAGAGAACTACTGACCCATTTGTTATCAACCAATCGGTTACAGAAACAGAAGCGGTTAGTTTCTTAAACATGCTGATATCAGACATTTTAATAATAATAATAATTTAACTTTATTGATCTAAAACTGGAGAAATTTACCTCTGCATTTAACCCATCCCCTTGGGGATCAGTGGGCTGCCATTGTGGGGCGCCCAGGGAGCTGTGTGGGGTTAAGGGTCTTGCTCAGGGAGCCAGAGTGGCAGTCTGTGGGAGTAGGGCTCGAACTCAGAACCTCAGGATTCCAAGCTCTATGCCCTAACCACTAGGCCACCACTCCCGACATGAGGAATATTCTTATATTTGTTTTTTGATTCGATAAGGACACTAACCTACTGCAACAAAAAAAGACTAGTAACAAAAACAAATGGGAAAATGTATTATAATTTAGTATTTTTGAAGAGTTTCTATTCGTTGAACATGTCTTAGAGTTCCTCATCTTGTTGTTTGTCCGTGAACTTTACAAATGAAAAAAGAGCTGGATTTACTGATAAAATGATTGGAAAGTTGGTTTTGTTTTTAGGAAACATTTGAGACATGAAAAGATTTACCCATATAAGATATACCATTCAGTATCATTTAAAGGTTCTTTTCTTTTCAGCATCCTAAAGATAATTTTAGTTTTTAGCAAATTTTGGTATTATGGAAAAAACAAACTGGTAGTGACCATCATCCAATAATGTTTTACAGCACACACAGTCATAATAAATATGTTCTGTGGACTCAGCGTCTCCATCACATAATACACAGGCATATATCTTCCATTAAGGAACAGACCCTGACATAAAATATTTGCAGGAATATATATTTTTTTGAAACTCAATTTTCTTTATTTACAGTTAAATAACATACCGGTAATAGCTGTACAGTTTAATAAATGCATCACAGACCAAACGCCTCATTTGAGCCATTTTGGGATTCGTTTCAAACTTCTCTGTAATGGCAGCACCACATGGGAGTATAGTGTGGACTGGAGTTATGTTTGCAGATTAATCTCCAGGAAAATAAAACTTTCTAATGGAAAAAGGAAAGTTTTATTAGAAGTTTTTGTTTAATGGTCACATTAAGACGGAAGTTATTCTACCCAGACGTTAAAATGTTTTCCTTGGATTATGAAACCAAAAGGTGCAGTGGGTCAAAATAGGAAGAGGAGAGAGGTCTGTAGTTTTAATTATTTGTCCACATCAGCTTTCAGAGACAAAATGTTGGCAAAGAAACCAGGAAATCACAATATAGGGTTTTCCAAGCATTTACCATAGCCAAAACTACACAGGTGGGGACTAGGAGGAAAACTGGCAACCTGCAGAAGGCTGGGAAGAGAGATTTTACAGAGCTGCATCGCAGGACCACTGTAGATACTATGAAGCATGGGGGTGGAAGCATCATGCTTTGAGGCATTAATGCTTTAAAAATGTTTTGTTTTGCAGATTTTTTTAAATGCTTTTTCCTCCTTGATTTAGATGATAAATGTGCAACAGTGCTTGCAAATGTTACACAAGCCTCAATTTGAACATTAATTAAAAATCAAACATTAACGGTGCATGGCAAAATGGAGGGTGCAGCGATGCATGTGCCTTAAGTAACTTCTATGTGTCGTTTCCAAAAACAGAAAAAAAGTAACTAGATTTATCACTAGTGGCTTTTTTTGAAACAAAAACAAACATCACTATATTACGACGAAGTCGCTAAGTGCACGGCGATGAAACTAAAGCCCCTGTCACACCTCGATGATTAAGCCAGCATATGCCTGATGTACGGAAAGTCAAGTAAAAAAAACACTGACATATGTTGGATAAGTTATGGGAACGTTTTGTATAAGTTATGAGCATGGTGAATACGCTGAAGCACCCTGGCACACGTTGACATACGGCAAGTGCCAGCATATGCTCATACGAGGGCCACAAGTTACAGGTAAGTTATTTGATCGCTGACATATGTTAAGTGTTAGTTACTCATAAGTCGTGGTGTCTAGCTCATCCAAACCCTATGAGTAACTTGTGCATAGCTTATGCGTCAACTTATCAACAGCTCATCTCTAACGTATATAACAACATATTTGATGTGTTCCAGACGATTGCTGAGCATGTTTCTAACTTACAGCTACTGTTTAATGGCGTATTGGCAGCGTTTTGATATTAAAGTAGGTTCACAGGAGGAAACCATCAGTTCTCCTTCAGACTTCATCCCCATCATAGGGTGAGCGAGAAGCTGAGTGTGATGGACCTTTCCTGCGTTCACGCCCATGACCAACAGTCCTAGCAGACATGACACTGAATCCGCTGCGACTGCAAACCTTCTTCCTTTCTTTTTTTGTTTTTAATTTATTCTTTTTTATTATTTTGGTGGGCGATAAACAGCAGCTAGGTTGATACCGCGATCAAAGACATCTTTTTATGCAGACCGGGTGGCTCCGGGCGCATTGCTGCCCCCCTCAGGACACTGGCTTGTGTTGTTGTGCGTTATGCATGGGCTAAGCTATCGTTGGACATACGCTCTGGACTCGTTATGAGTACTCTGTTACGCCCAACATTGAAAAAATACATAGAAAGTTCAGCTTATGCCAGAGTTTTAGGAGATTCTTGGACGTCAGGCATATGTTGGCTAAATTGGCAAGAAGGATGGTTTCATACTTCTCTGAAATGTTTTTTAATTTACACTGAATAATCTTGTGGAACAAAAATAATCCCAAAACCTCCCCTTCTGCCTGGTAAATTTACAGAGCATCTCCTGTCTGCTCTGGTGGATCATCCAGACTTGCAGACGTGTCTCTGTGGGATGGTGTGAAATTAGTATATAAGTAGTGGCGAGGCCTTGATCCTGACAGAGCAATAAATATTAACATAACTAACTTTGATACGTTTGCTTTAGTTCATGATTGAAAAACCTAGATGGACTGTTGAAACAAGGTGCCGGACAATTTTAACTCACATATGTTCAACACGTCTGTTCTGTTGTTCCTCTTAGATGCATCATTACAGGAAAAACTCTCCTGTTACATCACCCATTAACTCTGTGTCAATAAAGTCCATCTACAGTTTTATTTCACTCGTTTTCTTTACTCCTCTGTTTATTTTATCCAATAGAAACTGTTAATGTTGGCCGTTGGCTCTGTCGTTCACCCTCTGACATGCCAACCACAGCTATCTGTGGTCCATTTGCTGCTGGTCGTAACTCCGCCGCCGCTGCTGCTAATTTGTGGAAAGTGCAAAAAAACAAACTGCCATGTAAACCACTGTTGAGCCTCACTTTAGCCACATTAAGGATCTGGAATAACAGCAGCGCTAATGTTTGCTGCACTTCGGCAGGACCCAGATTTCAGGTTGATGTTCGGAGAGAAAGCAAGAACCAGAACAGCTGTTCTGTTCTCCTCCTGACTCTGGATGTGTTTTCTTTTCTTACAGCTTTGGAAGTTGGTACGCATGTGTGTGTCTGTGTTAAGTTCAGCCCATCTGTGTTTCTTTACCTCCCCCTCCTCCTCTGCACACACATCCAGTCCTATTTTTATTCCCGCTTAGCTTCGTGCCACATAACTTGGCAGCGACGCGACCCCTGTGTCGAACACGCCTGCTCCACATGTAAAAATACGACGGCCGCCCAAAGAAAACACTCAGCTTCATTGAAAAAAACAACGAGTGGATGAACTCGGAGGACTTGTGGGTCTGCTGATTAATGGACTTGCCTCTCTGATACGTGTTTTATAGAAGTATTTAGCAGAAAAGGGAATGGACCGTGGAGAGACGGCCAAGATTCCTTCTTTATAGCCTTAATGAGCTGTTGCAACGGCTGCATGATAAGTTAATCGCTGAAATGAACCGCCATGGTGCATTCTGTTCATACGCCAAGTTTAATCACCTCTCAGTCTTTATTATGTTTTTTACTTTGTTGTGTGTGTATTTATTGACATATGTTCCATCTCTTGTCAGTCTGCAGCACCAGCTAATAATTAACTTCTAATTAAGTTGTTTCTGTCAGGAGAGAGAAACAACGTAATTAGATGGCGATTAAGCAAGCATCCATGGAAAAAAAAAAAAAGGTTTGCAGGAATCAAGCTTTAAGAAAAAAAGACATTTAGAAAAATCTCAAAATTGAAATTTTAGGACTTTACCAAACGTTGAAGTCTATATTATTTTAACTTGAAATTCAGATTTTTTATTTATTTATTTTTTTTACAGCTTTTATGAATCTAGTGGTGACTTAGAAAAGGTCATAAAATGTAAATGTGAAAGTTTTAATTAAGAATCTTAATTTTCATCCAGAGCTTAATGTCCTCAGTAGGGAAATGTGTCATCTTAGTTTCCATTTAACCCTCTTTCCTCTTTGGACGGTTACAGTGTGAGCTTATAACCCCCAACTTTATAACCACTCAACCAGTTTCAAACTCTGACTGCTGGTAACTAGATTTAAGGTTACATTAACATTAAACTTAAATGAGAATCATTATCATCACTGCACAGAACCTAAAATGTATTTGGTTAAGATTGAACATTAAATTAACATTGAGCCTCTATAAGCCAACTCTTTTCCCATATTTCACAGCTAGCTTAATTTTCAGCTGTTGAAATAGCTTCTTTCTCACACGGCTCATCACATCAGAGAGGTTTATTAGTTACTGCGTTAATGGTCTCCATTGAGCTTTTTTTTTTCTTTTCATCAGCGAAGAGAATCTGCAGCATTTTCTAATGCATCTCTGCTAGATTACCGTAATGCACTTTATTTTGGTGTTACTGGATCTTTAGTTGCCCGTCTGCAGACAGCTCTAATTACTGCTGCACAACTTTTAACTGGGACACGCAAGTTTGAACAGATCTCCCCAGTTTTAAGTCCACTACACTGGCTGCCAATTAATTTGAGGATTTAATTCAATTAATTTTATTTATATAGCGCCATGTCACAACATGTCATCTCAATGCACTTTTCAGTTCACCAGATCATACAGTCAAATTGATTAAAAGTTTTCTATCTAAGGAAAACCAGTTGCTTGCATCGACTCATTGACTGGAAGGCAATCCCTCACACTAAGAATGTTTGTAGCGACAGTGGAGAGGAAAAACTCCCTTTTAACAGGAAGAAACCTCCAGCAGAAACAGGCTCGGTGTGAGCGGCCAGGATTCATTTTTTAGTTATTTAACTCAGTTTTAAGTCTTTATATGCACCATATATCTCTGATGTCCTACATCATGATGTGCACCTTCATTCTCTTAGGTCAGCTAATCAGTTAACCCTTGAAATATGTAGAACGAGGTCTAAGTTTCTCTGTAGCTGGTCCCAAACTCTGGAACATGCTGCTGCATATCACGCAGGCGAACCGTTTTTTAAAGTCTCCTCTTTTCTCCCTGGTGTTTAATACTCAAAAGGATGTTGGTGTTAGTTTATTTTATGTTCTCTATTATATTTTCCATGGTGTTTTTACCTTTTTGCTGCATTTAACAGTGTTTGTATCTTACATTTTGTGCAGCACTTTGTTCCTGTTGGTTTAAAAGTACTATATAAAAAAAGGTTGAATTGGATGTTGTGGAAACGTCTATAGAAGCAGCAGTTTCAGTGATCAATATTAAATATTAACAATTTGAACAATATGTTGCATAGACTAAGATCTGCTTTGAGTAATTTTTAACTAAAAACTCAATTTCTACTCATTTATTTTCTTTAGAATAATAAAACAGGACTCATAAATCTCTGCAGAAAGTAAAAGTTTTATTTTTTGAATACTTTTTATTAATTGATGTAATCTGGGGAGGTGTTACTATTTTCTGTCTTTTTTTATATTGTCGATTTATTTCACATTTAATAATATTGAATTTGTGTTTTGACTTTCATGCTGATGTTCTTTAAGGCCCCAAAAGTCAGTGGAAATAAAAGTAAACATCTTGTTTTCACAGCAAAGATGGTAAAATAATAATAAAAACAAAGCTGTTTAATTTTATAACGCATGAACTTTATTTATAATAATCTTTTAGCTAATATAAATACATTTTCTTGAATTTTAAATTCAATATAAAAAACATGCCTGAAAATAGCGTTCATTATCCTGTTAATCAGAATGATCATTATTTAATTCTAAACTTGGCCAGAAGGTGAGGACAGGTGTGACAGGCTGCACCTGTGGACCATCTGAGGGTGCAATACTATCCCTCACCACCGGGGGGCCCCAGGACGACCAGCTTTCCTTCCAGCTTTACAGCAGCTCCCCTGCAGGCTCCTTATTTGTTTCATTTCTTATGTTTATCTTCTGAATTCCTTGATAAATTGAAATGATAAAATGCATATTAAGAAGCCATGATGTCAGTTTGTGATTATTTGTTATATTGCAAAAAAATCAGTGTAAAAGTTATAAATGCAGAAAGAAACGTCCTCCTCGAGTCTGATGATAATCAGTGCTTGTTGATTCTGATCCATCTATTAAATAATGAATTGTCACAAATGTTTATATATTATAAATCCAACTGAGGCAGAGTGTCTGTACGACGGAAAATGTTTAGTATTTTAGCTTAATGATTTATTAACAGCTGGTTGGTGAGTTTCTGTAATTGTGTCTCCTTCCTGCAGGTGTCTGAACATGCAGAGCTCAGCTGGATCCTCGGCTGCCTGACCAGCATGCCCCGGCTACGCCACCTACCGCAGTGGAAGGTTAGACCCCCCCCTGCATCTGTTTCACTTCATTCATTTCTGTCTCATCTTCCTTTTCTTGACTGAATAATCTATCAGCATATTATGAACCGTTTATAACTATTTAATATTACTTGGTTCAAAACAACCCTGTTTAGCTTACTTCCTAACCCAGTCCTAGTATGAAAATAATTATTAATACTCTGGGTTGTGCAAATACTATGTAAGTTAAATCAAATTTCTTTTTTGTTGTTGTTTTTAAGGTTGTTTTTGTTTCAGGAAAATAATCAGATTAATTAGAAGAAAACTACATTTTAGTCTCTATTAACACTTTTATAGACAAGCCATTAAATATAAAACTGTATAAAATGAACAATGTTTTTCTGCTGATATTTGATTGTTAAAAATGTATTAGTAAAGTTAAAAAATTTCTAAATATTGACCAAAGTGTCAATGTTGTAGCAGCAACTGCTTAAATTCACTACAGATCTCAGATTGAGAAGATGTCTTCAGTAGAAAAAATAACGTTTTAATGTGAACTAGAGTCGTTAACTCAAGCTGCTGCTCTTAAAATAATCAAATAAGCATCTTATCATTTATTGTTTTCACTAAAGTTTGATCAGATTCTTGTTTATTTCAGTGTTTGAAGGTACGATGTCGGCCCATCTGGTTTCTTCTGGTCTTTGCAGAACAAAACCTGCATTTCAAATGAAATATTACCCAGAGTGACGATTGAATTGAACTAAAGTAGAAAGTCAGCCTTATTGTTAATTAAAGACACGTTTTCTGTGTTATTTAGTGAACTTTTAAAAAGTAAAAGCTTTATTCACTCGCCCAGCATTACATTTGATGGACTTGATTTAACCGAACTGTAAAAAAGCTCAGTTCACAAACAATGAAGCAGGTAAATATGAGTGCAGGTCATTGAAGTCACAGTCACGAGTTTTTTCGAACCAACCGGTAGTCGAAGTTATTTGCAGATGTTAAAAAAAAATTAGGAAAAAAAACTAGAGTGAAACGTCATTTACGGGCGGGTTTATTTGTGTCAGCAACAGGAACAGCTTTACATCAAAACCAGCAGCATAGTTTTCTCTCTTTTTATATAATATAATGTAGGAAAAAATCCATCCATGACGCAAACTGTTCATTATTTCTATTTATAGTTTTATAGCTTTAGATGCATATTTCATGTCTGTAACTGGTGCTCTGCACAGCTTTACGACTCGGATCTTCCTGCCTCCCTCCAGGTCCAGATTCATGTTGCTGTAATTGTTGCCACGTCTCAGCCTGACTGTGTTTTTTAATTTCCTGGGTTACCACCGTCTGCTTTATTCTTATATTTTAATTAACCTGCCAGAGTTTTAAAATCACAAATTTCCAGGTCTATCCCAGTCCTCCTGTATTAATAAAGTGGGAGAGCCGCAGCCTCCCTGCTGCTCCCTGTTAATAGAAAACACCTTTTGTTTATTCAGCAGATGAGCCGATGTCAGACACGGCTCATCAAGTCACGCTTCACGCTTTCCCATCAGAGTTGAGGTGTCGTAAAAGTGAAAAGGATTCTTTGTAGAATTGGAAAGAAAGAAAGTCCACTTGTTCTCTCTTTTCTTATTCCTCACTTTTTCCAATTTGATGAAGATGAAGAGCAAGCAGAAGAACGAGGGCAGCGTTGGACTCTACACGTATCCCGTCCTGCAGGCTGCCGACATCCTGCTCTACAAGTAAGATCTTCCCTTCTGGTTTGTCACCAATTATTTTAAATCAAGCATCATTACTTCTATTCTCTACAGCTAATGTGAGTTTAACTTTCATTTGAGCTACTACCCGTTAAATCATTGGATACCTAAATCTGTGAAGTCAGAAAAAGTAGAAAACTTGACAGACTAGTTAGAAGGATTGCTTCGAATAAAACGGGTTCAGAAAAACAGCCTGTTGCTGAAAGCAGAGTTTGTAAAATTTGTTTTTGTTAGAATGAACCGACATCTGCAACCATCCTGCGCTAGATAAGACGATTTATTCTTTTAATGTTCAAGCCAAAACGGTTGTCTGTGTTTAATCGAATACAGAGAAAAAAAATAAAGGAACAAATAGAAAAAAAAAAGTTTGGACTCAATATAGTGTTTTTTTTGTTGTTGTTGTTTTTTTAGTTTTTTTTTTTACGGCACTAGTGGCTCGTTTTCTGACAGTAGGCTGACAGGAAGGGAGTATGAGAGAGGGGGAGAGACAGGCGGGAAAGGTCCACAGGCCGGATTGGAACCCGGGTCAGTCGAGGACTAAGGCCTCCATACATGGGGGTCATGTGCGCTTACCAACTGCACGCCAGGACTTAATTCAGTTTTATTTTTTTTTTTATGTTTATTTTAGGAATTAAACTTGGATGAATGAATATCAGGAAATATTTTTGGTTTATTTTTGTCTCTAAAGAACCAAAATGGTTGTGATGAACTTGGCCATTTTATCAAAATAAAAGCAGCAGGAGGAGAAGTTTTCAAACCTCCTTTTCCATAAAACCGATTTTGGATTCTTCCTTTAAAAAAATAAAAATAAAAAATCAAACCATTCTTCTTTGAACCGGTAAATATTTCTCATTGACTTCATAGATAATAATTGAAAAGATGCCATTATCCCCTCTGCCAGTAGAAACCTAAAAGAGTTTTGCCCAGAAGTATTCACACCTCGACAGACTTGCAGGTAGAGTTCTCTTTATCCAGAAGCTGGTTTGTGATTGAATTAGACACAGGCGGGCTTTTTTATAGGTTTTCAAACAATATTAATGTTTATTATCATCTAATTAAAATAAAATGCTCTTTCATAAACAAAAACAAACGAATAAATCATACCCTTCTCAATAATAAACAGAAAAGGCTTTAATCTGAATCCTTTTAATTTTCCCAGAGCAGCTTGTTTAATTTTAACTCTATTTTCTTCACTTTTATTTTGTGCTATAAGCTAAAAGTCTTGGAGGTCAGAAGGCCTATGTGTCATCACCCTAATCTTTAGCTCGTCAACATATTAGTCAGATTTAAGGTTTAAATGTAAAAACTTTGTTTATAGATGACCCTCATGGGGTTAAACACAGCCCTCGCTGGCGTCTGCCTCGCTCAGTATGAGCTCTACGGTCATCCTGGAGAGAGAGAACAGATTATAAATTAATGATCCCAGTGGACGAAGAAGCTTCTCTGGAGGAACTTTATGATTATAAAAATAAAAACACAAAAACTCTGCACACATTTTACTCAACAACTGATTGATCTTCTGCCTCTGCTATTGAAAGCACAGGAAAAAAACACATTAGCGTTCTAAAAACCGGTTTGTTATTTAAATGTTTTCACCTTTAATTTGCTCTCTTTTTGCTCGGTTTTCCATCAAAGATAATTGGATATATTTGCAGAAAAGGATAATCTCTTTTCCATTTCAAAGAGGCTTCGGTTTGAAAAATAAGACAAAACAACGGAATAAACAAACACCTACTCAGGGAGGGGTCGTGTTTTCCATAGCCCGATCTTTTTACGTCCGTTCCTGCCGACCTCACCCTCCACTCCCCCTCCGAAGGGTTCTACGTCCCAACCAGACTTTCTCATTAAGCTGCCACTTTTTTATTTCTTATTTAGAGGATATACTTTACAGAGCGACTTGTTTATGAACGTCTGGCTTTTGTTTCCTCTTTTCTTCTGCGTTTGTCGCGATAAAGAAACATCAAGCTCGAAATCCAGGAAAATAATCAACACCATGGAGATTTAAACAATTATAAAATCATTAAAGGCATTAAAAATGTTTAGTTAACTCACAAATTTTAAATTAAAGCATGATTTCTCAACAGAATCGCAGATGCCTGCTAAAGACAGAGGTTGTCTGAGCTATTATTTTATAACTATTAATGTGCAAATAATCCAGAAATCCAGCTCAAATATGCCATCATTATGTTTAGTGTTGATACCATGCCAGATCATCATTATATCCACCTACAGCTTTTGAATATCAATACGTTTCAGAATATTGATATTTTTTACAACCATAATTTGTTCTTTTATTGTCTTTTTTCTTTTAAATTAACTTAAATATTCAATTACCATATTCATCTATTTTAATTAACTTAAATAGATGAATATGGGAATTGAAAAGGTTACTTGTAAGCAATTTAAGACATTTTTACCTTTTATTTGTATACTTAATGTTGCTGTTGAGACTGAATCTATGAAGGTCATTTTAATTCATAAGTATTCCTTTATCTTAATTGTGAATTTGGAGTTTTGGGGAGGAATAATATAGATTTTTCTAAACTTTGCATGTACAAAAACATAACTTTTCACATTTTTTAATAAAGTAGACAAATTACTTATATATCCAGGTGTATAAGCCTATATTCTCCATTTTGCTCCAGTCCATCTAATGCTCTCTTGTGGCAGTTTTGTAAATGTAGGCTTTTTTTTTCTATCTTCCAAAATTACAAAAAAAGTTTCACCTCTTTGAATTCTGAAGAACAACAACCCGTGCTCTGTGAATAAAACATTTAAAATCTCCTGCATTCTCAGTTTTGCTCCAGTTGATCTAAAACAAATTCAAATCATCCCACATTCATATTTCTCAGTGTAACTTCACATTCACAGTGACGGTGCACAAATACTTATGATTTGATGTGAATCAGACTCTCGCTGAGGCTCTGAATGTGTTCAGTTTCTTCCTTTTTAATGTTAATCTTGTCTATTTTAGGTCCACTCATGTCCCTGTAGGAGAGGACCAGGTCCAGCACCTGGAGCTGGCTCAGGATCTCGCTCGGATCTTCAACAACCATTATGGGGAACTGTTTCCTGAACCGCGTGCTCTGCTCAGTAAGAACAGAAACAACCAGTCAGTTAGCATGTAGGGCCGAATCCTTTAATGCCTCTGCACCTTTCAACTTGCTTTATTTATGGGATTAAATCCTTTCTTAAACAAAAGTAGGTTAAGTACATTTATGCAAATTTATTAGGAGATTTGATCACTTATTTAGGAAAATAATTCAAATTAGTTTGATTTATATGCAGTTTTTAGTTTCTGCTCTGATATGTTTAGACTTCTAATTTTAACCCTAACCCTTAAGTTTCCTGCTTTTAAAATAAAACTTAATATTTATTTATCCTTTTGTTTTTAAATATTATCTGTATTTAGCTCTGTATTAAAAATAATCTGCCTATACAGCACTCTGATACAACCGAGGTTCTTTTAAATTTCTTCTTTACTGTGTATTAATCAACTTTCTCACAATTGCATCATTTTTTTTCTCCTTGTTTGCTTTAAAGGTTAAAAATTGGTAAAAAATTGCTGATTCTAGAGCTGAAATGATCAATCGGATTATTCATGATTCATTTATGGAAATAATCATCAACTAATTTAGTGATTGATTAATCTTTATTTTTAGTATAGAGACTGTAAAACATGCCTTTAGCTGACAGAGCGACTCACTTACAGCAGGAATTATACACAGATTGGAAAAAATATTTAAACATTTTGCATTTAAGATGAAAAAAAAATATTCTGTCAATTCTACTATCCAGAACTCCTTAGGTGGAAAAGTTTTCTTTTCACCTTGTTAATTAAAAAAAGTCTTCTTTGAAGAATCTTTGGCTAGCCGATATGCATCACGATACACGTGTCACGATAAAAGGTATCCTGATATGTCCCGAATTAAAGAAGATTCATTGAGAGCTTTATAATAATATAGCTCTGGTAATTCTCCTACTGCTGGTGCTGTACTGTTGGTGTTTACCTATATATTTTTTTTAACGTTTCAGATCTATTGGGCCATACTTTGAATCAATACCAATCTAATCAAATTAAAAACTGATAATATTGGGATTTTGAATTTATACTTATTTTGTTTAAAGAATATTGGAATTTTGGTATTTTTGTTCAATGCCAGTTTTGTCTAATTAAAATTATTCCAATGGTGGTATTTTGAATCTCTACAAATATTGCCCAATGAAATATATCAATACTTGACAGATTACATTCCTTTCTAACACCCAGAAGTTTTTTTCTGTTTTTGTTTTTTTAATCATCATTTCATTTTCCTTAAGGTTTGAATGAAGTGTTTCACCGTATCTGATTTTTTTTTTTTTTTTTTTTTTTTTTTTCCAGGAGAAAAATGGATTTAAAATTTTTAAGAAAATCATCTTTAGATGCACAGATAAGAAGGAGAAGCTTAATAAAGTTAAATTGTGCAGATATTTAGGTTTTTTTTTTTTTTTTCAGATTTGGACACCAGAAATCCCCAAAAGAAATGGATGGAAAACTTTTGTTTGCAGATTAATGCTAAGCTAACTTTATATAAGTTGAACCCCATTCAACAGCTTCCCAGCTTTAAAGCTGTTGGAACAGAAAAGTTAGGGACTCTTTGTCCCCTGGGGTTAAAATAAAACTGAAATGAAATCCAAATCCAAGCATCAATCCCCCTATATCCAGTATTAATATTTTTGCGGTCATTATTCTTGTTTATGTTTTAAAATGATTGCTATCTGCTCCTAGAGATGAACTCTAATGGTGTCAGAGGAAATGGCTGACATGTCTGTGGATCTCACCCACATCCCTCTGGGATTCTCCCTGATTATCACCATCGTAAAAGCAAAGGATGAACTCAATAAAGCTCTCAGTGATATTTATTCATCCTGTAGCAAAAGAAGGATCCAGGACTGACAGCCTCTCATGTAAAATAAAAATGTGTTCAGCCCTTCTGATCTTTTTCATGTTTTTTGTCTGTATTACATTTTAGTTAGATTAGCAGGATTTTATGTGATAGCTATTCTCTTTTCCTGTAGTAGTTGTTCTAAACATTGAATTCTGACTTTATATCCAGCAGCCGTTGGTCTGTCAGATCAGCATACCAGCTCAGACCAGCGTAGCCGTAGTCAAAACCTGACTATCCCTTTAGTTTATCCATTTAATTTTGTATGAAAAATACACTTTAGACTACCTCAACGGACCTGTATCCCTTTATTCAGGTACAAAAAACTTTTAAACTATTTATTTTTTTCTGTTTTTTCAGGCTTATGGCGATCTCACCTTAAATTGTTTTTTTGTTTTTTTTGTACATGACTACAGGAATACACGCCCGTTGAGGGAGTTTAAAGTCTATTTTTTGTACTAAACGAATATGACGTCTTGTACATGCATATTAACTAGGGTTGCCAATTCCCTGGAAAACAAAAGGGATACCTCATCAGCTGACCTGATTGCCTTTACCCCTCCTGGTGTGGTGATTTTTTTTTTGCCCCCCTTTGTGTGTGAAATAATTTTTTTAACTATTTGACCAAATTTGAATTGAATTGGATTCATATTTGTGAGTCACATGAACACATGGAAAACAAATTATTATCCAACAATTCACTTTAAATCAAAATAACAAACTTTGCTGAATAAAATAAGTATCTTAAACATAGGCCTGTCCTGCTTAACTTCAATCTAAAAATGAATATAAAACAATAAAAAAATAGTGCACATTTTTGGTGCAACAGCAAACTTGTGCAAACTTGTAAACAAATATGTGCCTTAAGTGCAATGACTGTAGTCTACAGTTGTAAAACAGAAAAGAAATAATTAGCTCAATGCCATATTATGAGGAACTTTTTGCCATTGTATTTCCTCTGAGCTCTTTCAGAAGTGAGGAGTTGTTTGTCTTTGAGTGCTGCAGAGTAAAGCTGAGTGAAGCAGCGTCAGCATTTAAATTACTCCGGTTGTTCCCCATACTGCTCTGTTGTCTCCCGCTATCTTCTCCGTGTGCAACACTTGGCTCGACCAATGGGATGAGGGTATTCTGGATCGTTACATATATGTTGTCAGCTCATTGGTCACAACGCAGGACAGGGCCCGGGAACAAGTTTACCATAAGTTTTGTATCTAATGTGCCCTTGTTTTTCGTTTTCCATTAGCTTTTTACTCTCACAGTAATACGGGACAAAGCGCCTTCCTTTTCCACTAAATACCGTACAGGTACTTCTATTTCTAAATACAGAATGATTCTGTTTTTCAAAGGACGGTTGGCGACCCTAGTATTGACTATAGGTATGCTGATCTGACAGAACACCATCTGTCATCAATTGACAATTTTATAAACACAATGATGGACAGAAGAGAAAAAAAAATACTTAACTGTAGCTGCACTTATTAGAAATGTAAAATTCTGTGATTAACTATAAAGATGAGATGTGTCAGACTTCATTGTTCTCAATATAAAAAGTGAAGCTAACGTTAGCTTAGTTCATACGAAGTTCTATTTTCTATTTTTATTCTAATTTCACATTTATCACTTTAACACATATAGCTACTGCTGTCAGAGCATTATCATAACTAAGTGATTTAATGATGACTTTATTTAACCAATTTTTACTCTTAAAGAGAGCAGATATTAGCTCAAGATGCTTTGCTAATGTTACTTGCAGTGTCACTACCTGATCCGTCCCGGAAGCCCGATCTGTCCTGCGTAAACAGATATACATCCGAGTGTCCATAAATAATGTAATTATGGTATTAAAATTACTTATTTATATCCTTAACTCACTAAAGAATGCTAATAGACATCTTTAAAAAAATGTTTTATGACTTTTGTGAGACAATTTTTATGCTTTTTACATTTTTTTCGTTAAGCTTCTTCTGGGACGTCATCATCAGGCATGGTCAGAGCAGTCCGGCAAAATCTGATTAAACCATGTTTATCTGCATTTTATTTGTTTCTTTCTTTAGATTACGCACTATATAGCCTAATGTTAACACGAAACAAAAACATAAAACTCAAAAAGTCTAGATTTATGTTTAAATCCAAAGCCGAAAAGTTAGCCACCGGATGTAGCGTAGCATCCCATTTCGGGTGCAGATCGGACAGAGACGAGTGATAAAACAAAGGATTTTAAGGCATTTATTTTCTCAGGAAATACATTATTAACCTTTAACACATTATATTTTGGCACGTTTACTATTTTTGGGGAGGGAAAATGTCATTTAGGTATATTTAACAAACTATAATTGATGACGACTCTGATGTATATCTGGATGCACAAATGAGCCGATGGCGCATGCGCGGAACGGATCGTGCTTCCGGGAATAATCGGGTACTGACATGCAGCAACATGAAGAAGTGGTGGGATTTCCTGAAAAGTAGCCAATCACAGGCTGTTTACTTTCTCAGGGCGGTTTCACCCTCAAAGGGACAAAAATGGAGATGAGCGCCCAGAAAAAGATCTCCTTATGGATAGAGAATCCACTGGAACATTAAAAGCAAGAGAGAGCATAGAAGCAGTATGGACTCATGGTTGTGATTTATTGGGGGCATCATGAGTTTAAATCTGCACTCATAAAACATTCAAAATGCTGGGGGGTATTTTACATGCATGTTGTAAATAAAACTACTTGTATGAGTATTTATTAGGCGTGTCACTCATAGATGCTGTCCTTTATTACCTGCCTTACAACCATCCACTACTTTGTGTTGCTCCACCATAGAGGATCTTGATGAAATAAAATGCAGTTTGTTGTCCTATTGTGTTGAAACATGAAAAAGTTGAAGGGGTGTAAACATTTCTTCAGGGTTCATTTGACTCCTTACTGTCAAACAAATCAATGCTGGAAGGAACAACCTTCCCTTTGAAAGCCAACCAAAGCCTCAAAGGCTTTTTAATCCCCTTAATAAAGATGTCTCCAGAGTGATAAACAGGACACATATGGAAATTACAATATGGCGGAAGGCAGGCCGACGGAGGATGACAAAGGAGAGGAAACCGTGTCTCTATTGTCTACTCATCAGTTCACACTGTGATAGGTCTGCCTCCCATCAGCACACCCACAGCAGGCGGCCATATTGGGCCAGCCATTCCCACTCCTCCCTGCTTGGGGCCTGTTATTGGATCTTTCCACTGTTCTGTAGTTTCATCTTCAGCTACAATGCTGAAAAATTTAACTTAAACTTTTGAAAATAATCAGAAATAACTTATTTCTATTTGTTTAGATCTACTGGAGACTAATTAGATCTAGATTTCTGATTTGATTAAGGTTCTGTTTTTGTTTCTAAGGTTCTGTTTTGGTCTTTCTGAAATCTCTGCTTTCCTGATGTTACTTAAATACTAAAGTTTTTTGTCTCACAGCATGTTTTTCCTTCACAGGTTCGACCCAAAAGGTGAAGTCTCTCCGCAACCCCTCGGCTAAAATGTCAAAGTCCGACCCCCAGACAATGGCCACCATCACCATCACCGACTCTCCAGATGACATCGCCCTGAAGATCCGCCGCGCAGTAACAGACTTCATCTCCGAGGTCACCTTTGACCCGGAGCAGCGGCCGGGCGTGTCCAACCTGGTGACGATCCACGCCGCCGTGGCGGAGCTCAGCGTGGAGGAGGCGCTGTCGCAAGCCAGCGGGATGGACACGGGGGCCTACAAGGGGCTTGTAAGCGAGGCTGTGATCCAGAGGCTGACGCCCATCAGGGAGGAGCTCCAACGGCTGAGGGCGGACCGGGCGCATCTGGAGGGGCTGCTGGCTCAGGGGCAGCTCAGGGCGCGGGACCTGGCTGCTCCTGTGCTCGCAGAGGTCCGACACAGAGTGGGCTTTTGCTAAAAGGCCTGGAGGCTGGAAAATAACAACATTTATGGTGTTTCTGATCAGGGCTTCACTAACGAGAAGCCGTCTGCTTCCTTCTTGTGACTCATTGAGGGGAATAAAAACGAAGGCGGGACTGGAGGTCCGCTCTGACTGAGGGACCAGTCGTATAACCCTCCTCTGAAAACAAAGCAGGACGTCTTCAGGACGATCATTTCTCCTCAGTTTATGTTTAGGTAGATGTCATCATTAAAACCTCTTAAACTCAGAAATGATTCATGTCACTCAGAGTCTTCAGGTGTTTGCAGCTTTAACCAAAGGTGTTTAATTAAAAGGTCATTTTGAAACAGATTTGTACATTTTTTTTAAACCTGTAATGAATCTGTTGGATGAATCATTCTTTCACACCAATCCAAACATTTTCACAGCCTGGAAGTTTATGGGTGAAACTGTTTTTTTTTTTTTTTATTTGACAGCATAAACATCTGTGGCTGGTTCTACAGGAGTGAACTGTGTCTGCAGAGACCTCTGCCCTCATTGGCTCCTAAAGGATAAATTCACCTCTTAATCCAGTCGTATAACGTTCACTGGAAATGATAGAAAAGTCCGGCCCTTAGTTCTGGTTTATTTTGAGGTGGAAAATTAGTCCATTTTAATAAATGACTGGTCAGTTTTCAACTTATTCAAAGTCTTGTTATTCTTATCTCTGCTGTTTGCACTTTACTCATCCTCCATTTAACAAGACAGCGTCTCATGTTCCAGCATCACACGTTCCTCTCATACTTTTCTGCTTGGTTTTTATGTAAAGAGGCTGAATCATAAGTGCTTTTTATTTTTTTGGAAAAGGTGCTCACCTTGAAATAAACAAACTGTCCCGCTCAAAGATCCAGTGATGATATGGTTTTACTTTTCTGGTTTTCAGCCTCACAGATACACTACTGTATATATAAATGTCAAATATGCCTTTCCTCAGCTTCACCCTCAGTTTTTATACAAGGTTTCTGCAGGTCATTAAATTATTATTTTTTTAAAGAAGGCCTTAATTGTTATTAAAATGCATTTAATGTGATTATTGTGGCATTTAATTTTTTTTTTTTAAAGTTCCTAAAAATAATTTCGTCTGGTTACGTTCATAACTGGTTGCGCGTGTTTGAGCAGAACTGCTTCCCGAAAATGCAAATTTCAACAAAAGGGGCTGGAAAACGAGCAATTCGGGACAAGGCTGCAGCCTGTCGATGGTAAACATGACGAAGGACTTTGCAGTGTTTTTTATATATATATATATATATATATATATATATATATATATATATGAGAGTCATGGGTACTTGTTGATGGCATTAAAAGTATTTCTAACAGCATTAAAAGAGCATTAAATTAGAGTTACTCATTCCTGTATAAACCCTGTTATATTTACTATATTATATATTATATTATTTATTATATACTACACTCAAGAAATTAAAGGGGTTAATTTTGTACATTTAATAATAGCTTTACTCCAAAAAGAAACTGGTTGCATTAAAACGATTACTCAGACTAGGGGTGGGCTATTCCAGTTCCTGGGGGCCGGTATCCTGCAACTTTTAGATCCATCCTTGGTCCAACACACCTGAATCAAATGGTTGAGTTACCCCGTTAGTAAGCAGTCGGTTCCTCCAGAGCAGGCATTCCCAAACTCGGTCCTCAAGGCCCCCCTGTCCTGCAGGTTTTAGAGGTTTCCTTGCTCCATCACAGCTGATTTTAATTGAAAGCTGATTAACAGGCTTTTGGTCTACTGCAATCATTATAACCAGCTGTGCTGAAGCAGAGAAACCTCTAAAACATGCAGGACAGGGGGCCTTGAGGACCGAGTTTGGGGATGCCTGCTCCAGAGGCCTCTCTATCATCTAATTGCTTGATTCAGGTGTGTTGAACCAAAGGCACATCTAAAAGCTGAAACCAGCCTTCAGGAACTGGAATTGCACACCCCTGCTGTAAGATGTTTATCTTTGCTGCAGTTGCTTTTAGCCGTTCTTTTAAATAAGGCTGAAATAAACAAGTCTTTGCTGATCACAGTTCTCTGTAGTTTTCCTTTGAAATTACTGCTCTGCCTGCTGCACTGACATTAAATGAGCCGTTCTTTGGTCTTTCCCATTTTCAAAAATGGCTCAGATAAATTGGACTTTATGTTGCCTTATATTTAGACTCTAGATTAATAAGATTTCCGGACAGTCTGATCAGTCTAATAAAGTTCATTTGGTTTAATTAAAACTTTTATTAAAAAAAAAGGATATTTTAAAAAGCAAAAAACACTGATTTTTTTTTTTTTTTGTATTTATGTTAAATTTTGCATTTTAAAACTGTTCATAGGTGCAGTATGTCTCAATAGACCTGAAGCTAAAACAATTAGAAAACTTGAGGCATCCATTGATCCATGTCTTTACTGCACGGACAAAGTGGGACATTTCGGAAGCTCCAACTGCAGAGTTTATTTTTGGTCTCTGAATATAATATATTAAACAGGATGAAATGGATTGAACTAAATCGGAAATGAAAATTTATTTTTATATAAACCTGATTCCAAATGTGAAAAAAAGTCTACTTATGAAAAAATTTGTCCAAATTGACTCTCTGTTTGCTTCTACAATAGTTTTGGTTAACTAACATCCTGTGTGATTAAAAGAAAATAGTAAATTAGTTTCTTTTAATAAAAATACATATTTTTTTACTTGTAGATACAGTCTTGCTTTTGTGTTTTCTTTTCATTCTTTCCAACATGTTTTATATTCCACATCCCGGTTCCTCCATCCATCAATTATGTCTTAATTTACCGTTCCGGTAAGAGACCATCCTCCTCCTCCTCCTCCTCCTCCTGCTGTATTTTCTTCTTGAATAAACTCATCTATTTAGTTAAATCCCTGCACTCTTCATTCAAACATCAGTCATATCGCAATTTAATTATTTTTTATTAATAATTGTTTTATTATTATTATTCCAATCCACATATTTTTTTTCCTTTGGTTGCAGGACGCATCATCTGATTGGATGCATTAATAATAATAATAATAATAAGTAACTTTTTTGATGTTTAAAAGCGCAGTGAGCGGTTTGAACGGCTCCATTGTGAAGGTGTGTGAGTTTATTTAAGGCTGGAGGAGACGCATTTACTGGACCGTTTTACGCGCAGAGTTTTAGCATTTAAATGATTCATAATAAAGCTTTTTTTATTATTTTAAATAAACATGGAAAACGCTGCAGTGCTATTAAAAACAGCAGTTTTAAAAATAGGACTTTTACTGCTGTTGGTTTTAGGCTGAGCAGAAAGGAAACTCGATTATAGCTTGAAAACGACCGTTTTACCTGCGTCAGTCATTGCGCCATTACGCAATGCGGCAAAGTGAGGTTGTTTGGGGGGCAAACGCGCTCCTTGCTTTACGACAGTCGCTGTTGAGGCTCAGGATCTCTAGTCAAGGCTCCAATTTATTTCCTTCCTTTTTTTTCTGGCTTAATATGCTTTTGGAAATAGATGAAACGGAACCACTGTGATTCTTTTCAAATGAATTTCTTTCTAAATTTGGTATCTAAATTAGATACTTCAATTCCTCCTCATTAATTTAATCTGGAAGCCACGTGTTGAAGTTACTTTACAGATAAATCTTATATGCATACATCTGTAGACTTTATTTTTTTAGTTTTCATCCCAGCAGTTAGACCTTCCTGATGTGTTTCGCAGTGGATCTTCATGCGCTCCGATGCAGACAAACAAAAGAAGTCATAAAACCTGAGGAGCAGCTCAGCAGCTCCTCAGGTTTTCTTTAGGTTTATCCTTCTCGTTCGTTACCCCGAACTGGTCTGTTTTTTTCAATAAATAGCAATACGCAGCAGCTGTAGTTGATGCTTAAAGACAAGCAGGAAAATGAGAAGGGAAAATCTGCGGCCTCGAATGAAAAATAAAACTAAAATAAGAAGTTTTTTTATGCTCTGTGTTTAGGCCTATTGCATTTTCTGTTTTCAATTGAAATTATTAATTTTTTTTTGCGCAGATTTTTTTTTTTTTTTTTGTTAATGGTTTGACTTTTTTGATTATTTGTAGCAGTTTTATTTTTCTTTGTTTCTGCATAAATTGTTTCAAACTGATCCGTTAGTCCAGTATTAGTGGGCAATGATGGCACATCTCTCAGGTCATATACTGCAAAAACGATCTAGAAATAAGTAAAAATGTCCTAAACTAAGTGAATTTACTCTTACTTTGAGCAGGTAAATAAGATCGTTTGCCAATGGAATGTATTTTCACTCTTAGAATAATATACACTTGAAATAAGACCATGCATCTGTTTTTCTTTTCTTATTTTAAATGTACATTCTCTCGTTCCATTGGCAAAGTGTCTCATTTTCCTTCTCAAGTCAAGAAAAAATGCACACATTTTAAGGAAAAATGACTTATTTAGATTTCCATTTTTTGCAGCGTGCAGTAGATGTTTGCGGCAGATTTGATCGGAACATCAGATCCATCAGCCCAGTTAAATTAGGCTGGATTTTACGCAGCTGTTGCCGGTTTAAATCCTCTCCTCTCTAACGCATATATCGAATATATCTTCTACATGAGGTGGCAGTTTTTATTTTATTTTTTATTTTTTTATATTTTTAGGGGGGTATTTACTGCTGAAACCTTTTACAAATCATCTTGTATTTTTAAAACCTTTTCTGTTGCAATGATTTTCTCTCATCCCATCAAAGTATTTGATTTTAATGTATTTACAGATTATGAGTAGGCTACATAGATATGTTAAGGAGATTTAGGTATATAGAAATGCTTTTTTACTTCTTCAATAAATGAATAGGGCCGAATCTATAAATAGAATTATATATAAAGGAATTGCAGAGTGAGATTATTAAGTGTCCGCTGCCTGCATGGTGTGTTTGGCCCTGACGCGCAGCCTCGGGCGAAACGGGCCGAAATGACCTGAATGCTGCTGAATGCTGCACTCTCTGTCCGGCCCAGAGAGTCAAGGCATGCGTTGTAAATGGAAGAAAACATTTCAAGTTATGTTGCACGAAATGAAGCTGTGCAGTCAGACTCTATCTATCTATCTATCTATCTATCTATCTATCTATCTATCTATCTATCTATCTATCTATCTATCTATCTATCTATCTATCTATCTATCTATCTATCTATCTATCTATCTATCTATCTATCTATCTATCTATCTATCTATCTATCTATCTATCTATCTATCTATCTATCTATCTATCTATCTATCTATCTATCTATCTATCTCTCTGTTCCGATTACACTGAAATTTTAATTTCTAAAGTTATTGTTAGTATCTGTTATTATTATCTGCCCTGATTAACCTCCTCCTCCCATTGCTCTATCAGATCATAAAACTGAATTGCGGCTTGTGTGTTTAGTGCGGACCCTCCCGAGGTCAGTTTGGATATAGATTTAATTGTATAAACCTCCTTCTTGGCATGGACACTGTCAGTTAAACTCTGAATACCGCTTTAAATACTGTACAGTCAGTTTACAGAATGATGTAAATAATTGAGCAAAGGGTTTATTATTATACTAAGGCTGCAGTTGGACCGTTTGTTGTTTAATTCCAATTGGCCTAATTAACTATTGGTCTAATTAATGAAAAGGAAACCATCGGATGGCTTTGTTAATGTTGTGGCCACATAATGAGGATTTTTTTCTGTAACGCCTGCAGGTCGAACAGAGACATTGAAATGTCTGAATCCAGAAGCTGTGATCTAAGTGCTGCTGCTGCACCAGAACATTGAAACCTCAGCTGAAAACCTTCAGCCTCAACAGGAAACACTGAGATGCTGCGGGATCTTTTATGCCCAGGAAGGTATAAATGAGAGGAAAATAACAGCATTTGTTTCTGCATGAGGTTGTTATTGAATAAACTCCCATTTATATTTTCTCTGTGATATCTTATGTGTTTGAAACGGTTGAACTCTCTTTGTTGGCCTTTGCATAACACGCATCTCCGCTGTGCTGCCACGATCCGTCTAGTTTGCTGTTCTAACTCCTCATTGGAGGCTGGTTTTTGACAGAGAGAAGGGACACCGCCCATCTCAGTGCCTGAAAAAAATCCTCCAGAAGTGAGTATCAATCAGGGAGAAGTTAGAGGGACACAAAGAGAAACAGGAGGGCTGAGAGAGGGGTGCGCAAAGAGGCTGACCGCATCCAACCTATCAATCCGTGCGCATGCAGCCACGATGGCACCGTCCGCCTTCAAAAGCTCCACTTTTCGTTTCTAGTCACAGTTTACTGGGATTACTTTGGACGCTTGGTGAGTTTGCGCCCTGCTGTAAACACTGACGTGTGCAGTTTTTTTCCCCTTCTTTTCATTGTTTTGCTTCGCTGCTTTGGACGGACGGAGTGCGGTTTTCTGCTGTGTTTTCGCTGCGTTCTCCCCCTCCTCCTCCTCCTCCCAAACCTTCGGGTGGATTTGAGAGAAATGAGTGAGAGGAGGCGATCGGCCGCAGCTCTGAGCTCTAGAGCCCACGCTTTTTCCGTGGAAGCCCTGATCGGCTCCAACAAGAAGAGGAAGCTCCGGGGCTGGGAGGAGAAGGAGCTGGAGTTGTCCATGGAGAGCCTCGCCACGGACGGAGAGGATCCAGCGCACTGTCTGGACATGGACCCGGGTCAGTGCGCACACACACATATATCCACCAACAGTCAGATCTCTGCAGCCTTGAGTAAAAGGTCCAAAGTCAAAACAGGGCTAAACATTTAGGCACCCAGCGCGGCACTGGGCGCACATGTTCCACAGTTTACCCTGAAAAACGTTTTCACTCAGCAGCTGCGTCCCAACAGGACAGAGGACGCTATCCGAGCTTATAAAGAAAAGCGTGATGCGTTCAGATTCAATCAATCACGCTTTTAAACCAACAGACAGAACTATAACCTAAAGTAGAAGCTCATTTTGACCCCAGGCATTGGAATCACGCATGTCCCACCCAGTAACAGCCATATCCAAACACTATGACGCGTAAAAACGCATCAAACTGCACGTTAATTTCAGACATATTAGGCCACAGAGTTCCTGCACCGAGGCGCATCACACACAAAAAGGTGACACCATGATGCGCTTTACTGTTAAACAGGAGGATACTTCATTTGCTCTAAATATATTTATATTTGTAAGGAAAGGTCCAGTCCTCCTGTGCAAACCATGCACAATCAGTCTGGTAAACAGGCCGCTTAAAGCGCAACGGAAGCGTCTGGAGGAAATGTGTAAAGAGAATAAATAAATAGATAATAGAAAGATAATAACAATATAATATATAACACCTGTTCTAAAATGAAATGCTTCAAAAACTGTGGAAAATCCTAATTTATCACCAAAATCTTTTTATAAAAGAATTCACAAATGTAGATTAGGATTATGTTGGCCAGTGTTTCCGCACCATATTTTGGAATAAAAAGATAAATAAATGTAGATTTTTTTTTTTTGTTATATAAAGCAGACATATCTATACTTAGTTAAATAAAATTGCAATTTAGTGAAGTTAAAACTCCTCTCAGACTTAGTTGAGAAACCTTTGGAGAATCAAAGCTCTATTGACGCGGCTTTAAGCTTTCTTAAGAGGGGGAAAAACAAATCTGTCTGCGCGTTTATAACGTGTATTATTGCGGTGTCAATTTCACCAAATAATAAAAAACACCTTTCATTTTTTGCTTTATTTCAAAGCAAACAAGATCAGCAAAACAATCTTAGCCATTAATCATTAATGCTGAGTAAGCAAGTAAAAAAGCCTGCTTGGAGTTTGAGTGATTAATTTTTATATTTAAGCTGTTAAAAGTATATATTATACTCAAAATAATTTACAGTATAATATATTATAGTAAATATTATTACTCTAATTATTTGTAATTTTTTTTTTTTTTACAATGAGTGAATTCAATTTAAAATAGTTTGCATCTTTGTCTCACCTCTTTTGCGCCTGAGTTTTATTTTTAAAGACAACAGAATTTATAACCAACATTATCTCTCCATATGCCCTATCTGCTGCTCAGAACCTGAACTTTTTGCTTCAGGTTCAGTCATGACTGAAACAAGTTTCAAAAGGTTCGTGTTTTTGGAGGTATAAACCTGCGTGTTTTATGCCTCAAATAAAAACGCGTTTTTCTTTTTTTTTTCTTTTATTCGCGTTGATTGCATCGTGATGAATTCCTGTTTGTGAGGAGAGGTATGGGGGGGGGGGGGGGCTGCTCCTCTGCAGCAGGAGGCCGGATCGCTGCAGTCTGACCTCCGGAACGCAGCGCCTTTCCTCGGAGCGCCTCTGAAAAACGAACCCGCTCCGGAGAATAGTTTGATTCCCCTGAACTCCCGGGAAACTTGTTGTTGTTGAAGCACAGAGCTGTCTGCTGTGGCTAAATGAGGGCGCGCTAATTAAAAACAGACTTTTTTTTTTTAGCTCCTAAGGGGCACAGACTGGGTGATGAAACGTGCAGCTTTTTATCGATTCAGTTATTCATTTTCTCTCTCAGGCTTTTATTCCCCCCGCGCACATTTGGCCCCAATCACTACCCGTCGGGCCCCTGGCAGGTTCCTGCTCCGGACCAAAGGCCCTTCCTTCCGCTGCGGAGCATCAGGCAGCGGTGGCCGAGAACAGCGAGTCTCTGTGGTCACATTATGTGGTTTAGAGGAATCCTTAGCGGAATTATGTGCCTTTTTTTTTTAAAACTCAGCTCCAACAGGCTTAGGCTGGAAGCCGGCTGCTCGTATAACACGTTTATTAGCCTGAGAGACAGAGAGCAGGACTGAGTGTGCAGCAGCTTTACAGGCTGAGCGGAGCAGCTCTACAGGCCCGTTAGCGCACTAAAAGCTCACAATGTTTCTGCTCCTCTGCACATCTATCAGGGGGCCGGTAGGACGGCAATTAACAACAAAAACTGCATTTATTAAAAACATGAGCAGCAGGCTGCAGCTTTTACTGCATCTCATCAATCCTGTCTGATAAGACATCTCCATATAGTAACAAGACTACGTTACATTTAAGCAGTCTCCATAGTAACAGGACTCCATTACATTAAGCTGGGTTTGGTCTCCTTAAATAATTAATGACTCCATAAAACAGCAAAAAATTTCAATACGTGAACTCACAGTAGCAGAAAGCTTTAATCACCCATTTACACATTTTTTGTGGTCACCCTGTTAATTTGCGCAATTTGTTTAGTTTTTTTATTTTATTTTATGATTTTTAACAATAACTTCTGTGACTTCGTCCTAGCTGCTGAACTCATATTCTTACACAGCAATAGTTGAAATGTATAGGAGTCAATATTCTTGAAGTAATCTTAATAATAATAAAAAAAGAAAATTAAAAACAATCCGCTGGACTTTGTTTCCAAGTTTGAAGACGTTGGAAACGAAATCCAGTGGATTGTTTTTTATTTTCTTTTTTTCGGAATTACCTGGATGACAGAGAATCTTCACCGGCGTCTTGAACTAATTGTATTTTAATTCAATAGTTGATGATTTACACAGAATTGCTGATTTTAATTATGTACTTTTAAAATAAGACAAAATCTTATATATATTCTATAATATATAATCTTATTTCATGCGCATAATGAAGTCCTAAAATAATCAAAATACTCATTCAACTGGCAGATAATCCTGTTGATCTGCTCATATTAAGGGAAAATAAACGTATTTTGAGGAAGTTTTGGTCATTTTTAGATCACTTTTTGCAGTTAATTCATATCGTCCTCCTCTGTACCCGCAAACTCTTTTTTCCCCGCTTCTCACTTACTGTTGGGCAAAGCAATGATACATTTCTCCTTGAATTACAGTAAAGATCATTACATCTGATCTGATCCTTTAACCCAATTATGTTCATTCTGGATTTATTCCTTCTTGTTTCGAATGTGTGATTCAAGCAATTTAGATAGGGGCCCTTCTTTGGTTTATGAAGAGATTTACACTGCAAAAACGGGTCTAAAAATAAGTAAAATGTATTTGTGGTCTTAAAATAAGCTAATCAGAATGTTTTTATTTGAAATAAGAAATTAAAATTATTTTATATAATGTTTGTTATTTCAAACATAAATAGTTTTATTTGCAAATTACCTTTAGCTGCTTCAATATAACTAAATATACTTATTTCAAGAAAAGAAAATCACTTATTTAGACAAACATTTTTGCAGTTTCATTAAGGGGGCAGTAATACATATAACATCTATTTAATTGGTTAGTAAATTTAAATAAGATAATTGCTATATTCTCTCAGTTATTTTTTATATAAAAACAGACCGTTTTAGACAGTGAACCGTCCTTTATACGCCTCATATAAAGATGGTTGATGGATTTAAGCCTGGTGTAGACTTACATCAAAATAATATGATCTGCCAACGGATTTAGATTCCCCTAAAATATTACATTTAGATATTATGAACTGGAAATAAAAAAAATAAATAAGATTCCTGCAAACTGAAAATACACTTAATAAAAGTAATGACTTGGATTACATTTTCTTTCATGCAACCAATTAGGAAAATGAAAAGTAGCTCACACCACATTTGTAAATGATACGGAAATATCAAAATCCAGCTTTATTTAGTTCAGTTAATAAATAAAACATATTTCACTTTAATACTGTAATCTCATCACTGCATGAAAAAATAAGCTGTATCTGTTCAAGAATAAAAGTGAATATGAACACATACGTTACTATCGATAACATGCAGATAAAATGTGTGCAGCCATTTTGCTTTGTTGCATAATAATCAAAAGGTTGCATCCTCTGTTTTCTGCATTCATCAGTCTTAAGCTTTGACCTTTAGACTAAAAAATAACCGGTTTTAGCCTAAACATCAATTGACTTTTAACTCACATAAATCTCTCCAAATATGATTTTTTTTTTCTTTTAAAGCAAATCAAATATCGTTGAACCGACCCAAAATGGTTTGCAGCCTGCCCTGTCTCTCACACATAGACTGCATAAGGTAGGCGCCGCGACCCTGACGGAATAAGCAGGAGAAGATGGATGGATGGATGGATGGATGGATGGATGGATGGATGGATGGATGGATGGATGGATGGATGGATGGATAGTTTGCACTGTTCTGCAGTGCAAAAATATTAAATCTAAGTCACTTAATTTTTCTTGAAATGAGTGTTGGAGCAGATAAGTAAGACAATTTGCTACTGGAATAAGAAGCGACTGTATTATCTAATATCAAGTGAATAAGATAAAATAATCTTATTTTAAGGCAGGAAATACTCCTTCCATTGGCAGATCATCTTGTTTACTTGCTTCAGTTATCTCTTTGTTATGTTTATTTTGGATGTATGGAGTAGAAAACTTTTAAGGATTCCAACAGGCGTCCAGAGTTTAGAGCGTCGCCCCTGTGTCTAAATGTGAGAGTGATGTGTAGCACCAAGCTGGTTGAATTCAGACCCATCGCCTCATTATTAAGGAGGGAAGGCATGAGCTGATCAGAGCGGCAAGACAAACACCCCCCAATGTGTGTGTGTGTGTGTGTTTGTGTGTGTGTGTGTGTGGGCGACAGGTGCAGTGCTTTCAGCCAGCAGAATGAAAACTCAAACCCAGCAGTGGATGCTGAGTGATAGTGGAGTGAAAATGAGCTGGCTGACTTCACATCAGATGTTTAACCTGAGGCTTTGTGAAGCAGA